ATGAATGTATCAAAATGATTCAATTTGAAAATATGATTTATCGAAAAGATATTGCTCATCGGTAAGGTGATATAAAAATTTGTTAGTGTTATGTCATGTTCTCTTTCTAATCCATTTGATATATATTCAGTGCTTTCTCATATTTGTCTCAAAAGCCTGCAGAAATGGCATATGCATCTGTTGGTGTTTCCATTGATTCCGGAAATATGCTTGTCCAAAAAATTAAATCATTGATGAAGAGCACTTTACGTGACGGTTCTGATTGAGAAATAGGTGGATTTGGTGGCATTTTCGATTTGAAAGCTGCAGGGTTCAATGATCCTATTTTGGTAACTACTACCGATGGTGTAGTAACTAAATTGAAGATCGCACAGGCTGTCAACATTGTTAGGATTTAAACGGGTCCCGGGCCAAAAATCACAGTTCATCATTAGAATTTTTTATTTTTATTATATTTAATCTATATAATATCCATTTTTAGCTAGGTACATAGATGTGGGGCTTGTGGGAATTGAAGGATGTGGCTTGAACGACGGGTTAGGAATTTACTCCGCAGATTATAACGTATACGTTACAGGCTGTGTGATGATTTAACTGAAGGAAATCAGAACGTATACACGATGTCCTATAAATCGTATACATGATAATAGTAAAACGTATACGTGATAGTAATAGAACGTATACGTTGTAAGGCTTGGGAATAGAAGAATAACGAAGGTATTCTCTATAGAAATCAAATGTATAAATATAGGCCCATTTGGCCTTCCCACAAGAGAGTTATCGATTAATTGTCTAATAAACTTCTGTTACATAAGTCATATTACTCCGCATTTAAACCTCTTTAACCTTTCATATATTACCTTGCCTGAAATCGCTAAATAAATAATCGATTCCTCACCACGTTTGTTAAGTAAAGAATACGCGTATACGCTGGGCCTCTTATTTAACATAAAGGAAGTAAGCATTAAGGCCGAATAGACCTTTCCCTGAGTAACTAAGAGCCGTATACTGGATAATTTATAATAGTATAGAGATAGTACGAATCACGACATACGATAAGATAGTGGATTGTTAATAGGATCAATCCGTTTAAAGTGATCTTCGTTTGGGTCACTTAAGTTATTAGTTTATTATACGTTTAAGACTAACGCCACCCTTAATTATATCACATTAATTCCGACCCCTCCCCTAAATTATAAACCTTGTTCTAAGTAAACCTCTATCGGCCCTATTATAGATAGACTACCGAATCCCAGCTTTATTATTTACCCTTTTAAGAACAATTAGATTGTTATTAGTCCTATCACGTTAACTATTGGGGTTAAACTGGACAACGATATTCGCTCTCCTAATTTACAGTAGTAACAACATCCATAACACTATGGGCTCGTGATTTTCTCAATATTTTCGGATTTAAAAAAAAATTTCATTTTTGAACTAAACAATTTACCATACTATTAATTAAATCGATCTTGTCGTCATGAATGTCAATGATTTAATTGTACAGGGTGCTGTACCCCTATTTTTCCTTGATTACTATGCGTGCGGTAAATTAAATGCGATGTTGCAAAAGACGTAATAGAAAGTATTGCAACTGGGTTCTTAAATAAAATGCGCGTTGATTGGTAGAGAAACAGTGTTATATTAGTTAAAAATAACAATTGAAACATGATTGTATTATTTGTAAAGCAAAGATACAATAGATTATTTTAAAATTAGAAATTGGAAAATTTTTTCTTATACTTTACGTTGTCACGGGCTAATAGGGCGAGTTCATGGATAAAGCAAATGCGACGAATTGTCGCTTGAGAAACGAGTATGTCGCATAACGTTCCTCAACGGGTAGTAGAGGCGGATTTACGATTTGGCACAAGGCCAAGACTTTTACTCATTAGGTTTCGCGTTTATATATATAAAACATCTACTTCATATGTGTAAAGTTGGGCTCCCATCA